AAGATGCTATGGCAGTTGTTGCAAACCGGCTAAAATCAATCGTTGCACATCCAATGACCATTTCTAAAATTTTAAAACATGAAATAAACAAAACATCAAGGTGGGGTTTTAGAGAGATCAAAACTTGCAGCTTCACAAGAGAGAAGACACAACCTTCCGGACGCGACCGCAAAAAGAAAAAGCGAAGATAACATAAAAGCACTATGTGGCCTAAGCCTAGTTGTTGTGCACACACAATCCTTCAAGCGGCTCTTGGTGATCTAATGGAATCAAGAAACACTTTTGCCAGAAAACATGGGGAAAAAGAAATGGAAGTGTGCAGAAGTGTTCAAAGATCTATGACTTCACATGTCTTAGTCGGCAATTTCTTGTCATAAGAAACCAATACTCAAGGAAACTGTTTAATCATCGCCCATATTCAGTTACCAAAAAATCCAAATTTCCAAAAAAACTGGAATTAAATATTCTGATCAGCAAGAACATAATGATTTTTTATGGAAAAAAATTCCATAGCATTGCGAAAGAGATGCGGCAACTGGAAATACAAGAGATGATTATTAAAATATGAATGCATCTCAAAAAGACTTAAGAGAACGTCACGAAGATATATTTCTCATAAGCAAAAAGTCAATAATTGCACCCAGTCTCAAAGGCAACCCAGAGGGGAAACTAAGAAATGCAACCCATGATTTTAAAACCCAAAAACAAAAAACTAAGGTCAAGGACAAAGGATGAATGTAGCTGATCACAATACATAGAAAATAAAATCCATTTTAATCTCAAGAAATTATTTTTGGTTAGTCAATTCCCCTGAATGCTCACTTACAATATTATTATATTCTACAAGCATATTTTCCAACTTAAAATGCAACAGTGCACACACAACTCGTTCTAAAAACCCAAACACTAATAGAAGAATTGAAGAATTTGTGGGAGCATGGTGTGCAAACATATGATGCATTGAATGGGAAAATTTTTAGAATGCATGGGGCGGTAATGTGGACCATAAATGACTTCCCTGCGTACGGTAACATGTCAGGGTGGAGTACAAAGGGTTACTTGGCTTGCCCTAATTGTAACAATAATGCATCGTCTCAGGGATTACGAAGTAAAATAGGGTATATGGGTGCTCGTCGCCACTTGCCTGAGAACCACACCTGGCGAACAAGTAAGCTCTTCAATGGTCATACGGAGCATAGGTCCAAACCTTTGGACTTATCGGGGACCAAATACTAGAGCAAATTGATTCTGGGACTTACAAGTCGTATGGAAAGCACCCACAAAATCAAAAACGACAAAGGAATGAATGGTTTCTATGCAAGAAATTGCCGACTAACATGTGAAGTCATAGATCTTTGAACACTTCTCACACTTCCATTTCTTTTCCCCATGTTTTCTGCAAAAGTGTTTCTTGATTCCAGTGAGATCACCAAGAGCCCTTGAAGGATTGTGGTGCACACAACTAGGCTTAGGGCACACATAGTGCTTTATGTTATCTTCGCTTTTTCTTTGCTTCAGCGTCCATGGAAGGTTGTGTCCTCTCCTGTGAAGCTGCAAGTTTTGATCTCTCTAAAACCCCACCTTGTGTTTTGTTTATTTCATTTTTAAAATTTTTAGAAATGGTCATTGGATGTGCAACGATTGATTTCAGCCGTTGCAACAATGCATAGCTCATGTGTTTGCATCGATGTTGTAAATTTTGCTTTTACTGCCTCAACCTCACGAGTACCCACGAGCCACTATTTTTTTTAATAAATAACATGTCATGCACACACACTGTGAAGAGCATGAAAATGATGAAGATGGATTAATGGCTTAACTTCCATAATTACACATTGTTTTAGAACAAATCGTGTCACAAAGTCCCACCCTAAAAGAGATTTATGTGACAAGCCAAACAGTGAATGAAAAACAACATAATCTATCTCAACTTGAAATGCGTGTTCTCATTTGTTCCTTGGTTAATATTTGTGTGAGTTGTAGGTGACAAAATGAACAAGAGTTGGATGACGATAAATAATAGGCTGACAAGTAAAGAGTATCAACAAGGGGTGAAGTCATTCCTTGATTTTGCTATGGCAAATTTAGGCATAGAGGATGACATTAGGTGTCCGTGTGTCGATTTCATTAATGGCACAAAATATAGCAGACAAGTTGTGTGGATGCACTTGATCCGAAGAGGAATGGCATCTTCGTATTTAACTTGGGTGCATCATGGGGAACATGCTCCCGTGTCTCATCCTAGTGCATCAAATGACCAATGTGGAGGTAGTGGCGAATGTATGATAGATATCGATGATCCGCCCATGGATGAGTTGCCTATTATGTTGGAAGAAATTTACGTGAGTGGTCTTATGGATGATCATACCGACGAGGAACCTAATGGTTTGGAGAGGGAGGATTTGCATAAGTTCACTAGGTTATTCGAAGATGCACAACGCAAAGTTTACCCGACATGTGAAAAGTTTTATGTGCTATCATTCGTCATTAAGATGCTTCATTTGAAGGTGTACAAAAAATGGAGCAACAAGTCATTCGATATGGTTATGTAGGTATTCAAGGACATTATACCAGAATGTGATCAAACAGTTCCATGGACACTCTATGATGCTAAGAAGTTCTTACATGACTTGGGTTTGGGATATGAAACAATTCATTCGTGCAAAAATGATTGTGCACTATTTTGGAAGAAGAGTGGTAATTTGGAGAAATGCCCTACATGTGACGCATGTAGATACAAGTTGAACGATGATGGTGGTAAAAATATTCCACACAAGGTATTACAGTACTTTCCATTGACACCGAAGTTGAAAAGACTGTATATGTCCAAAAAAACAGCTGTAGATATGAGATGGCACAATGAGAAGCATGTGGATGATGACATATTAAGGCACCCGGCCGATGGTGAAGCATGGAAGTACTTTGATAAGCAACATCCGACGTTTTCTGATGACTCTCGAAATGTAAGGCTAGGGCTAGCAACAGATGGTTTCAATCCATTTGGGAATATGAGCACATCATATAGCATGTGGCCCGTAATCTTAATGCCTTACAATCTCCCACCGTGGAAGTGCATGAAAGAGCCATATTGCATGATGTCATTGCTTATTCCCGGACGTTCGGCACCTGGAAGAGACATTGATGTTTACTTGCAACCACTAATAGAAGAGTTGAAGAATTTGTGGGAGCTCTACTATGCTTGGGGTGAATCAAGCCATTTGCTGCATTTAATTGTTTTCATAAGTTTATTATTTTCGTAAGCATGACCTTTTCAAAAGGAATTTTTATGGTTTTGAGCTAGGTATACAATTAAATCATACATATGGATAGCATTGCCTAGCGTAAATGTTTACTTTTGTGCTATAAATAAGCATGGTAGTTTGTGGATGGATAGCATTGCCTTGTCTTGAATGGATAGCATTGACTTGTTAAATTCTTGGAAACTACTTGGCAAACATGATAATTACATGTGAGTAATATTTAAACATCATTACATAAAAAAAGTACAAGGAGGCTGCTCTTTGTATGGGAACTTAGGAGAATATAACGACAAAGGAATGAACATCAAAATTTGAATTGGAGCAAGAGAAGCATTATGTTTGACTTGCCCTATTGGAAAACATTGAAGCTTTGACACAACCTTGATGTCATGCATATTGAGAAGAACATATGTGACAATGTTGTTGGGACACTTTTGAGCGTAGATGGAAAGAACAAGGACACGGACAAAGCACGCTTAGATTTGGAGGACATGAAAATACGTAACGAGTTACACTTTAAGAGGCGTTCTAATGGGTCCTTTGAGAAGCCTCCCGCATTGTACACATTGTCGGTGAAAGAGAGAGAAGGCTTTTTGTGATTTCTTGAAATCAATGAAGTACCCTGATGGCTATGCAGCAAATATCTCCAATTGCGTGACCGCTTAAGCTGGAAAATTATCTGGCCTCAAAAGTCATGACAGTTATGTCCTTATACAACGACTTCTTCCAATTGGGATGCGTGGCTACCTTAATAAGGAAATCGGAACGACACTTTTTGAGTTGGGAAATTTCTTCAAACAATTGTGTTCAAAGACATTGAGGCGTTCAGATTTGCATAAATTGGATGAACAAATCGTACTCATACTTTGTAAGCTTGAGATGATTTTCCCTCCGGCTTTTTCGATGTCATGGTCCACTTGGAAATTCACTTGCCTCGAGAGGCTATGCTTGGAGGCCCAGTGCAATATCGATGGATGTACCCAATTGAAATGTAAGGCTAGGGCTGACACATGTTCTTCATGTAGATGAATGAATTGCGGAGCCAAGTTTCCCCCGAAGCACTAATAATATGTGGTCATTAGCCAATGGTCCTAGTGGCTTAGTGAACACATATTCAGGATGTATTTGTAATGGTGTCCGTTATCATACTATCGACCGTGAAACCGTCGGAAAAGTCAGAATTGTGGATTAATCGTGGAAGGGGAGCATCAAGGCCAATTAATACACTTCTATGGACACTTGTGCAGAGTGCGGGAACTGAACTATTTGTTCAGACGTCGGATTGTATTGTTCCAATGTGAATGGTTTAACACCGGTAGTAGTAGAACTATGCGTGTAGAACCACATTTTACAACAGTTGATGTAATAAGTCGATGGTACAAAGATGACTCATTCGTATTACCAAGTCAGGTTGAACAAGTATTCTATGTTAATGACACCAAATTAGGTACCAATTGGAGAGTCGTAGAAAAGTTCCAACATCGAGGAATTTGGGATGTGCCAGAGATGGATGTCGTACAACTTGATGATTTGTTCCAACAAGAAGAAACCGCCGAGGTGGTACCTACTATGGCTATTAATGATGATGTGGTTTTGCGTCGACATGACATTGAATCTGAAATTATTCCAATGGAAGTGTTGCAATCTGTCAGAGGTGTAGAAGCCAAGGGTGTTACAGATGATGCCTTCATCTGTGATGATGAAGATGGATTAATGAGGGAGGGTGACGACACAGACGAAGAATATGACCTACAAAGTGATTTTGATACAGATGTTGATGTAGAATCTTGATGTATATCATGCTTTAGTGCATGTCATAATTAGAGCAATGTAAATGTTCAACTGGTGCACAAATGCAAAGGAAACTCATTATAATGAAGGGGGATCTATCTTTGTAAATGTCAATATCTCGTGATATAAACCACTATCATGAATGAGTTATTTTTTTTTTTATTTTGGAACAATTGGTGCTTGTCAAACTTCTATTATTATGAAAATTCTATAGTTATAATAATAAAATCTGGAAATCTGAAAATTCTGAAAATCTGGAAATATGAGATATGGAAATCTGAAAATCTGGAAATTCTGAAAATTCTATGACAAATTCTAAGTTTTGACATTTTCCACATTTTCCAGATTTGCAGATTTGGACAAATTCTATGACAGATTTTACATTCTATGAAAATCATATTTCCAAAATTCAATAGGTCTGCAAATTCTGGAAATCTGGAAATTTGAAATCTGGAAATCTGGAAAATGTGGAAATCTGAAAATTCTGAAAATTCTATGACAAATTCTATAGTTATAATAAGAAAATCTGGTACTCGTCAAATAATTTGGTTTTTGTCCAAATCTGGAAATCACCTTGGTCTGTATCTGCAAATCTGGAAATCACTCTGAAATCTGGAAATCTAAAAAATGTGGAAATCTGCAAAATTCTGAAAATTCTATGACATTCAGTTATGTTTTTGGTTTTTGTTTTTGTTCAATGTGCTGGGTCTGAAAAATGTAAAGGTTTGTTCTATTCTGAATTTGGAGCTGTGTGATGGTCTTTAGCAAGTTCTGTTTCTGGTGTTGAGCCAGGAGTTGAGTTTGGCTGTGGTGCAACCCTCCATATGGTGTGATGATTGTATATCAATAGTATGTAGGTCTCAGAAGGTGCAAGCCTTGGACATTACCTATGGGCCAGGGCATGGAATCAGTTTTGGAAGCTTAGGTTCTGGGAAATCAGTAGGTCATGTATCAGATGTGGTGGTGAATGGAGTCCGGATCAAGACCTGGCAGTCCATTCTTGTGGTTCTACTGTTGGGTGTTAAGCTACTTGGCTGCTATGCTACTGGGTTATTTGGTGCTTGATTTAGATTCTTCTGCTGGTATGCTGGTGCTAGAGTTAGCTTGCCCCTCTATTGTTTGCTTTGCATAGTTTGTTGGTTTACTATGCTGCTGGTCTGAGGCCTGCTCTCAGTATTGGATTGGTTTTGTTCAGTATTGGATTGGTTTTGTTCAGTTCTGTATTTCTAATATAGCGATAACCAAGGTTTCTTTATGGCAGTTGAAGTTTTATGGTTTTATGGCCATCAATCACATAATGGGGCCAAGTCATGTACCTACTAAATGTTTTACTGATATTTATTGAGTATGATGCATGATATAAAACTGGTTCTAGAAAAACGAAAGGAAATGCTTTATTCAGTTTTTCTCTGTCATTCCTGAGATCAGATGGAGTATGAGTAACTATGGCAATTTTCAGTGGCTCTGATAAATTATGCTGCTGAGAGAACACAGCAAAATTCATATCCTCTATAATTTTAAAATATTGCATTTTTTATTTTGATCAAAATCTCAAGAGCTGTGATGTAGCAAACTTGATATTGTTAAAATGAATGAGCACTTTGCTATGTCAAAAAACCTTGAGAAAACAATCTTGCATGATTACCAAGTGTAGAATTATGTTACATATCTTGATTCATTTTAGAATGAAAACGAAAGGTGTTTTCATATTCATCACTAGATTAGCTATGTGCTTCCATTGCCTATTAAAATGATTATTTATTTCTAATTTTTGCAGGTATTCTCATCTGATCCAGCTTACAATACCGGAGATCCGCAACTACTTTATAAAAGCACTTACTAGACCTAACCCAGATAACCGCGGCTGTAGGCAGCTGCTCTTAAATTCTCGATTCTAACTAAATGCAATGTACAGAAAGCTCTAGATCTCTCTGTTGTTGAGCTAGTGAAGGATCTAATTGGTTGATTGTAGAGGGACCACCGATCACTGTCTTCTGATGCCAGAGTTCTGTTGTTTGTAAACACTGTAAGTTTCTCCTGTAGCGTCATTGTCCCGGATTACTGCTGGCTATGACTATCAATGATGTTACTTTGATAGATTTAGATGGTTATATTGACTATAAATGTAATCTCCTGTGGGTTCAAAACTGATGTCGTTAGCTGATGGGCCATGGTTGTTTTTCATTAGCACCTGTTTTTCAGGGTTTATGGTCTAAAAAAGGTGAGGGATCTTATGTTCCCAAATTCAACTGTCTCTGCATACTTGTCCCCGTCTCACACTCTCAGTTGTAAGTACAATACAGTGAATCTCAAGAAAAGATTCTTGAAACACGATCAATTGACTGGCTCAGGATCTTGTTTTTTTTTTTTATCTTTATGCTATTGTCCCAAAATGCTCAAGTCAATGAATCATGTGAGAAATATGTGGTGTAGGAATCTCATGATTCAACAGAAAGAGTTCACGCGGCATTTCATAAATTTTTTTGGGTCAAGTTGTGCACTATTGAAATGTCATTTTTGAATCAAACTTTTTTCTTTGTGCTATTTCGAGGACGAAATTCTTTAAGGGGGGAGGTTATAGCGATCCCGGTTTCCCTTTTTACTTGTTATATACAGACTTAGGTTCCGTGGAGCTGGTTGTTGAGAGTATGTTGTTTGCACCCTTTAATCCTTATTTTGAGTCTTGGGTTGTGTTGGGAAGATTTGTGGAGCAGGTTGGTTGAGCTTAGGAACCAAGTCTAGTTGCCCAGATTTTGGCTTGTCCGCTCGAGCGGGGGTTTGGACGCTCGAGCGGGGAATACACCATCCAGTATGTCCTGTGTATGTTGGCCGCCTCGAGCGGGGATTGGACGCTCGAGCGGGAAGTCGTGAGTGACGCTCGAGCGGGGAGTTTGGAGCTCGAGCGGGAACCTATCTGCAAAAACTTCTGGGAGTGTGCATTCGCTGCTCGAGCGGGAGTTTGGCCGCTCGAGCCGGAGTCTGTGAGTGGCGCTCGAGCGGGGGTTCCATGCTCGAGCGGGGCGACTGGTATAAAAATCCGAGATCCGACTTTCTGGATCATTTTTCATCTCCTTTTTTATTTTAAAACCCTAGAACCGTCTTCTCCTCTCCCTACACACCTTCTCTCTTAAGTTTGATCTACTTAGAGTGTATTTCTACCCTAAGTCTGTTGTAAAAAGATAGAGTGGTCAGGGCTTCCGTTAATTCTGACAATCTTGGGTTTGGAGCACTTTGGTTTTCGTCATCTTCTCCATTCGAGTTCTTTTCTTCAAGGTAGGGATTTCCTACTCCAAACTATAAGTTTTGTTCTAAGTTTTGGTATTTTGATATGTTAGGGTTACTTTGATAATTTTGGGAAAAACCCTAGTTTGTTTAAATTAATTAATTGTATAATTAATTTAAGGGAATTGGGGAATTTGGTTAAATTCATGAAATTGGGAAATTTATTGCTTAAATGGTGTAGTTGGATAATGTAAATCACTCGCCATTGAATTGTTGATATATTATCCAGTCTAAATAACTGTTTTGGGCATCGGTGGAGGATAGTCATGATTGTTGTAGATATTGATGTGGATTAGGAAATAACTGAACATAATCACACTGGTTAAGTCATTAATTTTGATTATTGCATTGATACAGAAAATACGTGTATTGATTGAGCATTGCATTTGCATACATGTTTTGTGTGGGAGGAGATAGGGATGTACCCACGGGTAGGGAAGAATAGGGGATGGACCTCTAACCGGATTTTGTTTGGGAAGGAGATAGGGATGGACTCCATTACCATCCTTTATGGT